CAGTGTGCTTTGGGAGAAACAGGGAACTTGACAAAATTAAATTCTGGGTAAAGCACGGAGACAGATTAGTTATTTTCCTCACTTCTCGAGTGTAAACTTACATAGCTCTATTACTTACAGAATATCTCTGCTCCCTTAGACTATGCTCTTACAGAATATCCTTCTCTCAGAACATAGCTAAGCAGGATAGATGTTTCTGCATTGAAAAGATGCTGGTGCAAGCTTCCAGGACTGATGTTTTTCTTAAACACCAGAACACCAGACAAGCAGCATAACTAACGTACAGCAAGAAAAGCATGTCACTCTTCAGAAGTCACTACTTTCCTGCTCACTCTTAAAAAGGTCTAAAGGCCCAAACCTGTAACCGTTTATTTCTAAGCTAATACCACAATTCAGCAGAACACCTAAACATGTCATCTTAAGCGTGTGAGCATCAAACATTTTTTGGCAGTGGACTGTGGGTTGCATTTGGACTTGATGTATTTGCAAGGAATATTGAAGATGCATGGAAATGTAATTAACTGAAAGACTTTTTATCTTATGCTGTGCATCTGATTATATCTCAATGCAAGGCAAAAATAATTCCATCTGCAACCACAGAAGAGTATATAAAACATGTTATGTCCAGATACTTGAGACACAGTAATAGCCAGGGATTCTGTATACTCAGAGATAACTTTCACAGACAGAGAGAAGGGGGCAGGGGAACAACATATCAAATACACACAAGAGTAAAGCTCTTGCACCACTGAGTAAGCCTGATTTTACTACTGGACTTTCATCTAGAAAAGGTTCAGAAGAGCATTAACACCTTTATACCAATGAGAAGAAAAAAGGCTAAACGACTTGTTAAGGCCACACAGAGAGGCGGCAAAGCCAAACTTTTCTCCAGTCAATAACAAACACTGTGTTCACTTCCCTGCTGTGACCCGAGCCTGTTTCATCCTGGGTGTGGATCCAGCCTCATCCACACAGCTGCCCACATGAGAAACAGGACATCAACAGACCAATGAGGACAGAAAAGCCTCTTCACACTGGCCACAGAGGCTCACAACCCTGAGATATAGCTTGCTCAGTACCCTCGTGGTTAAACTTACAATTCTGTCAGTTAAGAAAGGAAATAAGTCATAATACAAAGGAAAGTAAGCCACAAACATTGTTTATAAATATAACAAAAGAGTTTCCTGTCCCATTGTTAAACTCAGCATGTGATCCATAAATTAAGAACTGTTTTATGTAGGTATGGCCATTTGATAAAATACCTACCCAGAAGATACACCCAATAGTTCCCATGTGGTAAAGTTGCTACATGTTGTGTAAACCAAAAGGAACATGATATTTGTATGTGAAGGTCTCACCCCTGTACCACACAATGTACTGCCATACTTCGTTCCCCACTACCACTCTTTTCAAGCTATGTGGAGAGAGGAATGGAGGGGGTTTATCAGACAGGGTGGGTCTTTCAGCAGGCTCATACAAGCTCTGTTCAAACTCTAGGTTCAGTCACTTCAGACAACAAAATACCTAAGGGAGGGCTGGTTTAAGCACCATGTAAAACTTACCAGAGAGCGCTCCGTTGTCATGATCTTGAAAGAAAAATAAGCTAAAATACTTTATTAATTCTCTTGATAGCCCCATCTTGCACAATGTAACCTTTAAAAACAAAGATCAGGAACTTAGCAGGAATATGTTAAAAAGTATTGAACATTTTTTTTCCTTAATTGTTTTCAATTTTTTCCTTATATCCCATTTAATTGTCTGTTTAAAAGCAAATATAACTACTCCTGTATTGCAGCATTTGAGTTTGTGAAGAGTTTCAAACTTAAAAAAGGAGTTTCTAAGTTTCAAATGAACATAAAAATGTAACAAACCAGAAAATGTTTACTGCTCTGTTATGCATTTAAGTATCCTCTACCACAAGGCATCTGGCATGTTCTTCCAAATCTTTATTACTAAATCCTCACATCTTCTTGTACAGTGAGCACTGTGTGCTATGAGCTAACAGCATTGCTCAGGAGCATCACAAATATGTATGTTTACAAGATGTATGCATTTCCTGAGCTGATAGAATCCTCTGTTTCTCTAGGAAATATCTAAAAGTCCTTCCCATTTATTGAAAGCACTGGTCTTACTTGCAGGGTTCTACAATTCTTCAAGAGGGCTTCTGACAAGAGCAGACTCAAGCTCTGTTGAGTTTCATTATTTCATACAAAGGTAAAATCCTCCCCAGCTTGACACCTGGATTTGTTTTAGCTTGCTGCAGCCTCTATACTGCCCTTTCAGAGAAGATGAAGCAGCACCACCAGAAGATGAACTTACTTGCAGGACCAGCTGTGCAATGGGTTAATGGAGACAGACAAATCAGGCAGAGGCAAGCACAGAAACTGCTGAATCACAGGGGGGCAATTGTCTTGTTCTGGTTTAGGTCCTGAAAAATCAAAGCATAAGTCAAAGCAGCCGTAACCTAAGAGCACAATGCCATCAGAGCATTCCTAAATCCTGCAGTGACCATAATCTCCTGAGATCTCTCAGGAAAGTGGTGTGGCAGCTGTGAGAAAGCTTTCCACCCCTGAGAATACTCCTGTCATAGCTCATCTGGCAGATTGTGCAACCTGATGGAGGAATCATGCTGTGGTCAAAGAAGCTGGACTTTCTTTGAGCATAAGGTGGAAATACTGGTTTCCAGTCTTCTTCCAAAGGGTGACCACCCCAAACCACTTCTAGCTCTGTGTCACAATGGTAGCATTGTAAATTCAATCACCTCCACAGTTCAAAAGGGGTTTCTTCAGCTGTATCAGCTGGTTTAAAAAGCAGGCATTTTTTTTGTGCATGGAAAAAAGTAGACGTTGAGCTAAATATAGGTTGGGAAGAACTGTTCCAAGTTAAAGCTGAAGAACACATTAATGAGGTTTTCCTTATACTTGTTAATACAAGGGCTGTTACCAGAGAGGGCAGCAGAGCATAAAAATCACTTGCTTCACACAGTTCAGACACCAAATACAATGGGAAGAGAGTTACAGAAGTTCAAAAAGTACAAAAGATATAGAAGTATTACAGCACCATCTTCCATTCTTTCTGCTTCTGTGCTAAGAAGTCCCCCTCGTAGCAAGATACTAAGGATACTGGATGGCATTTCCCAGGAATGTCAAACACACATCTTTCATTCAGTAGGATTTTGACTTATTTCTTGGATCAAAGCACAAGCTGGTATATGCTGCCTGAGCACCAAGACGTTAGGGAGTGACCATTACAAAATCTGCCTGCACTGCAAAGAAGACAGTCAATGAAGCAGCACATACACAATGACAGAAGTTAAATTGTTCTTAGAAGTTCTATCTCAACCTAACATGCCATTGTTTTTCTACAGCAGCACATAAAAATTAGGTGTCTATAAATGCAATACACAAAACAACATACAACACCACTGCCCGGCTTGGAAGTTACCTGGATCCACTGCAAGCTAACAAGTTTAACAAGCCCAAATTATTACTACTTTTTAAAGTATATTAGCAAATCCTTTCCTTACTCAAGGTCCTTAAGCAACTCTCTGATCTAAAAATGTCTCCTTACGTCTTCCAATCTATTATACTGCTCTCCCTCAAAATCAAAATTCCTATCTTCCTGCAATCCCCAACACTTTCTGCCTTCAGCATCTCCCACACCACAAGTCTCCTGTTGCAGGGTCTAAGGCCAACTCTGACACCTTCCCATGGAAGAACCAGTCCCAGCATTGCCTCAGATGGTGCAAACCCCGTGGCATAACAAAGCCAGCAAGGGTTTGACATTTGACATGGCCCGTACCATGTCAGCTTGATGGAGGAGAGCAAATACATGTTCAGCTTGCTTGTACCTATGGCAAGCTGAGAACTACCTCCACAAATTCAGACTGCAAAGGCACAGCAGAAATACAGTACACAGTTTCCTGCATGATGAGAGGAAATTTCAGATTCCCATAAAAAATGAGCTCCCATCTGGCAGGTGTATGCTTTGTTATGGCTATAAAGATTAGGAAATGGAAGCAACCAAGGCAGAGGCTTCAGCCTTGCTTGTGCACACACACATGCAAATACACAAAACATGCAGAGTCACCACTGCTCCCCCTCTCCTGGCATATGAAGGGAGCCCCATCTGAAAGTTTCAGATGCAAGCCAACCAGTTGTGTAAACAACATGTGGTTGCTCCTCGTTCCAAAATGCAACTAGCAATTGTTTACTGTATGTATTACAACAGCTGTTACGGACATCCCAGAGCCACAGTACTTGAACTGCACCAACAGGAAGTCCCACAGTTTCACAGCAAACATCAGGGGAGGGTTACCAAGCACTGGAGCAGGCTTCACAGGGAAGTGGTGGAGTCACCATCCTTAGAGGTATTTAAAAAGGCATGTAAATGTGCTTAGGGACATGGTCTGGTGGTAGACTTGGCAGTGCTGAGTTAATGGTTGGACTTGATCTTTTCCAACCTAAATGATTCTGTGACACAAAACAAGTAAAGGAGAAGTATGCAGAAAAACACAACATCTCAGTTGCACACCAAGTTCTAACAGCAGTGCACCAGCTAGGACATAAGTCAAGATTAGACCATCATTTCTTAAGGTCCTTTCCAACCCTAGCTATTCTACGATTCTATGGTGCTATGTTTAGCACTTTCATTATGCCAAGCCAAAAGGGGGAGTTAATTAAGAGCGTGTCCCTATAAGAAATAGTATATCTTTTCTACCATATATGAAGGAAATCTGAATTCGACAGCCAAATGCCATAGAAGCAGAGGGTGTGTAACATTAAGAAGAGGCAAATTATGGACAAGTGCAAGAACAAAACCCACTCGTGCAAAATGAGCAATGCCTCCCACCCCAATAAAACCCTCAAAAAACACAAAAGATTTTTTTTAATGCCTTCAAATAGGATCTTTCATAACTTCCTGACTGAAATTATCTTCTCTTTTTTGTTTCCCCACTTCTCAGAGATGGAAGTTTCAGCATAATTTCAGAAACCCATTACCTCTAATATTCTTTCTGCAGTGTCTGATGTCTGGATCTCAAGTCTAATATTGCTGCCATCAGCAAGGTAAACATCCAAAAAAGCTCTCTGGGTTTGGATCTTAAATGTATCCTGTTGGGTAGAAACACAACACTGTTTAATTGCTTTTCATATTGCTGGAGCTCTTCTGAAGATGCTGATGCTCCATTTCAATATTTACTCAAATAAAATAAACAATTCAGATTACTGTTTAGTAAACAGTAAATTACTAAGATTACTGTTAAAGCTTGTAGATGGCAAAAAAAAACCCCACAAACACCCAAACACATGCAGAACCACAAGTGGGAAGTACTGCAGAATTAGAGGAAAGTCACTTTGAAGTTAAGCTGAGCACAGGTTAGTTTCTCAGCATCTGTAGGAATGATGCAGTCACTGTCCTAGGAAGTATCGACTCCAAAAAGAGGAGGTAGATAAGCAGCTGCATGCAAGTATTCAAAGCCACAGTCTTGCCAAGAGCTAAAAAATGCACCCCTGTACCTATAAATAGGAAAATCTCCAGTGAGAATAATGAAGCTATGGTATCTTAACAGAGCCACTGCTATTGTGCAATGCCAGTGCCCAAGATTCAAAGCCACCACAAATGGAGAGGGTATAAGAAGAAACCTTAAAGCATTTAGGTCATGAGAAAACAGCTCTCAAGTAAGTGACCTCAGAGAACTGTCATATGTCTAGACATAATAAAGGGGTGATTTGCAATCTAGAAAACTGAAGTACAGAAGCCAGATCCATGGCCTGTCAGCTGATCATAGATGCAGTCAGGCTAGAAGTAAAGCATGCTCTTCTAACAGTGAGGCAGTGCACAGGAATGGGGTATTTTCCTCTGAGTTTATATCAAGACTTTGTATTTCTCTAAAAGATCTTCCTAAACTCAAACTCAGAAAGCCCCATTCCTTGCTATGTATAAAAAAAAAAATCAGTTTAGTTTTTCAAGAGAATCGAGACTAGTTTCAGAATTCCCTTGGGGATGCTTCTGAATGAGGTGACAGAAACTCATCACTGCAGCTCCTCTTCCTGTTGACTGTCCTGTACCAGAGGACAGCAATGGTCTTCCTGGTGTTTTGATTCATTAAGGAGAGGTACTTCCATTGCAACTCATAGTGGAGGAAATGCTGCAATTATACATACTGCATGCAACATTAATTTTTAATTTCTTGTATCCACCTAGCCTGGTGGAAGGTATGGGAGTACTTAAGAAGATCTGGGCACACTTAGGTTTCAAGTACTCTCGGGATCTTGCTGCAGAGTCTTCATGGTGCCTGTATATAGGAGCCTCTCCTGACTCCCCCATCAACAAAAGCAGGGTGGCAAGGCTGGCATTTATGCTGGGTACACCACTGCCCCTCTTTTGCTACCCTGGAGAACATAGTAGGATGTATCACTCTTAGCTCATACTGCTAATTTTCTGGGGTCTGAAAGACCACATTTTCCGGTAATTCTGGCTTAAGAGTTACTTCAAGGTAAGACCAAATGCAAACACTGTTTTCCCAAAACATTTAAAAATTAAGAACATGTTGTCAAAAGTTTGTAGAATTATATGTGGGGAAAAAAAGGCCTTGAGAAAAAAACAAAACAATTACCTTTTTATTTAAACAGACTTCCCACAGGTTTTCCTGGCACCAGTATTTCACCTACCTGCATGCCTACGCATGTGTTTGCATATATTAAAGAAAAAGAGAACCTCTTCTCAAGGTATTAACCAATGCCCTGTCTGAAGTCCTTCTGGGGATCCACACAGATTTAATCTTTATCCTCAAATTAATTTCCTTTTTATCCAGGAGACAGGTCTAATCATTCCTCTTAATTAATATAAGCATTACTTTGCCTCTGTGGAGATACAAAAGCACCTCTCTCACATCAAGGATCATCATATCTTGTGCTTACCTGAGTACTTTACCACTTTCCTGAAGTGGGAAGGACCAGACACTTCTTGCAAATGCCTTTGGCAGACATATTTTGGCATGAAACATTTCACATGTGATAAAAATGTATGTGAAACTAAGAACAAACATGGGATGCAAACAGCACAATAAGGTAAAGACATGTAGCTCAGCAGTGACTCTTGACAAAGAGCAAGCAGATCACTATATAGCAAGTTTACTCCGCAGGCCTCAGCAGTACTGGGTGAAGATGAGGGCAAAGGCTCACACACCTCAGTAAGCATTTCTGAGTGTGGGCTGCTGATGTTGAAGCTCCCATTGACTTCATGCACCTGCTTCTGTCAGATCCTCACGCTGCTACCGTAGCTTTCATAGGCTGGGTATAGACCACCTCATCCACTGTGGCAGCCCAGAGTCAAAGACATAAAGGTCACTTTACCCTTCTGCCACACCAAGAGTCACTCATCACAGCATCCTACCCTACTGACCACCTCACGGTTCAGCAATCATGAGAGGAAGAAAAAGGGCACTTTCAAGCCACTTCCTAATAGTTGAGTTTTCCAAGAACACCACGCAACCTAACAGTAGGCAGATTAATTTGAAGATCACAAGAAAGAATGTGCTAGAGAAAAGAAAATCTCAGTCCCATCTACAATGGTCACATTAAATATCACTGTTTAATACTCAATCCAGTGGTTTCTACAGTCTTTTAAAAAACTGCTTTGTTTATTGTCTCTGTTGAACTACAGACACAGCTTCATTCCATGGTCTTGGGGACAAATTCCCTACTTTCTTATCTCCAACTTTTGATCACTGTTCTCTTACTATGGCTGTGACACAGCAAACCAAAAATAAGAATTAACTTAAACTGTTGGGTTTGGGGATTTTCTTCCCACTTTACCACATGCTTCTGCACAGAAGACAGAACTGTCTATGCCAGAAGCTCCACACATTGTTCAGTGTTATAAATATTTGTGTTTAGCCTCTTATCAGCAAAGTATTGTTGAGACCAAAAAAATTTACTTACAGAAAAACAAAAGGAGGAAACAGTGCAGGCTGTAAGGCAGAAGACAGTTACAAATAGACATGCCCCTAAAACAACACAAGAGAATCCAGCATAAGTTTAGTAGAAATACAAAGGGAAGAGTATTTATCAGCATTAGCAATAATCTATTTAGTAAATGCCCATGGCAATCCCAATCACTTCCAACACAGACACAAAAATACTCTTGAAAGGAATTTGCAGCAGTGAGTCAGAGAAGTTCAGATCTCGCAGGCTGCTGTTGTAGCTTTGGAAAAAGTAGTAGAGTCACGGTCTCATCTACTCAAAGCAGGCACCAACACAACTCCCACACCACCGCCACCACCCTCCCCCCATGTTTTGCCAACATGTTCAGCAGTTCTTTCCACGTTTCTTACACTACTGCTCCTGAAATCCTGGGAATGTGCCATGTAACTAGAATTGGACACTTTCTTGCACTGTTTGGTTGAATCTTCCCTTCATGATGCTACTATCACCTGTGGTAGAATCTCCTGTAACATCCAGAACTGCTGCCTACTCCCCACTTGTTGGCTCTTGTAGCTTGAAGCAGAGCTCAGTCATTAACATAGAAATACAGAATAGTATAGAGGTGGTGAGGGGTTTCCTGTGTGTTTTGGTTTTGGTGAAAATAACAAATTCTTTTAACAAACAAAATAAAAACCTCAAATGAATTAAAAACTGCAAATAAAGGAACCAAAAGGAATATCTATTGTACAGTTCCGCGCTGGCAATTACATCTTTCCTCACAGTTTTCCATTAGAAAACTTAAAATTAAGTGATTTTGTTTTAACAGAAGTCAATGCCAACCTGAACCCTCAGCAAACTCTTATGGGATTTCTTGCTCAGCTAAGAAGCATGTGCCATAAAAGGAGAAAGGGTGAGAATGGAGGCCTTTATTACAACATGGTTGAAAAGAACAGCAGGTCAGGGCACTGAACTGAATCTTAACATAGAAAAATAAACCAGACATCCTTGAATTAAAATTCTTCAGAGTTTTCTATGCCAGAAACCTTTCCCCCAGCCAGAACACAAGAAGTGGGAACTTCGCACATGAAATTCAGATTTCAGGCCAGCTGTACTTTTAAAATAGAAGTTAATAAATAAGAAACCCACCTGGTTTGATATGAAGAAATAACATTCTTAGAGCAGTGCTTAAATTGTAGCTATTCAGCCTGACTCCTGTTTGTGTACATACACATCCAAACCCATTTGTGAGTTGAAGGATTGTTAAACATGCATTCCTCCACTGCCTACACTTTCAATAGCACACACACCACAGCTCTCATGTTATTCAGTCCTTGACCTCATGCTTGCTTTTCAGAAGGAAAAGCACATTACAGAGTCCTTTGATGAAGGACTACATAAGAACTCTGCTTTTTGCCTGTTATCAGGCACTGGTTGGCACTATTTGTTCAAGTTCTCAGAAACTTCTCATCTGTCCTTTCACCAACACCTGAATCCTTTTGCATATGCTAAAAGCTGCTGTTTACCAGCAAGAGAGACTGGAAAAGGTCAGCCTGCTACATCACTAACTCAAAACCTCTGCTGCTGCAAGAATAAGTGTCTCAGTTTTATTCATAAATGCATAATGACTGACTGTCCTCACAGCTACATCCCAAATAAACCACCTTACTCCTGGGTGCCTAATACAGAGACATACCATGATCTTGAATTCCATTCAAGGATATAGTTGACTTCCATTGAAAGGAGACTGTTAGGGTTGCATGTAACTGCTCATACTGTCTTTCTCCTGATGAAAAAGAAGACACAACACAGCCACAAAAGTCACATCTTGTTAATGACTTCTTGCAAGAACTGTGCCATTTGTCTTTAGGGGCTGCAGGTAGCAGGGCATATACTGAAGCGTGGTCACTGGCCAAGTCTGCAGAGTTTGGAAGAGTGGAGGTGTAGGAGGGTTATGGGTTCGGTTGTTCAACTCCACTACATGATACCCTTGGAAATATTCCAGCAATGTTCACTCACTCTGAGCAAAGCATCCATTGTGCCAAGCTGCTTCCCTATGTGTCAGGAGCCATCCTGTCCCCTGACAACTCCTCCCATGAGACTAGGTTGCTGAGGAAACAGCCAGAGCATGCCTGTTATAAGGAGCAAAGCATAACAACCTATGCAACAGGTATAGGTGTTGCTGGGCCAAAAGAGGGGCTTGGAAAGCAGGGTTAACCTGCATGGCCTTGTCCCCACTTGAAAAGTCTGCCCTGTTAGATATGATACAGGGGGTAGAACTGGTTGAGGGCAGGTACAAAAGAGTCATATTCACTACTGTCAGGCAGACGCAGTAAAGCCATTGTCCTTGCACAGCCTTCCCACTCCATGGAGTGCTCATCTCTGCACAGCCTTCACATTCAGAAGAAAAACACATGACAAGGACCAAAAGGGTCTCAAATTCAGTTTGATTTTCTTTTGCATCTTCTATTTCAGTCAGTGACATACACAAATCTCTTCAGTGAGAAGCTTAAATACTTCTTGTTTTAAGACAAGCCAAGAAAAGAAAGCAAGCACTAGTAGGCTACCTGAGAGAACAGCTCTGTTCTCTCTCATAATGAAAGATAGAAGTGAAGGTGAAAATAAATCAGCAGTAGAATTTTTAGGAAAAAACTAAGCTTAGCAATCTCACCCATCTCAATCTACTAAAACAAGGTTTCTATTAACAAAGCTGGTTTTACCTTCAGACAGATCTGTGCTCAGTAAATAGCTGTGGTGGCAGAAAAGTGGCTGACTGCTTCCTGTTCATCATCAGCTGCAGTGTGGTTCCTTAGTCACTTCTCCTACATTAGCTGGCAGGTTGCTTGTACAGGTGTGCACTAATTTGTTTCAGGTAGCCAAGACTGCCTAATAAAAGCCAGTCCATGCCACTGACAGAAAAGGAGCATGCTATTTCATCACTTTAATGATGCTTTATTCTTGAATCTTTCATTAATCATCCCTCTTGCAATGTAACATAAACAAGAGCAAGTTTGAGGTAATACCTGGTTTCAACACTAAGTAGCAGTAACACTGAAACCCTTGTAAGCAACATGTAGGATGCCAAGTGCTGCAACACACCTGCAACATCTTCAGCATCTGCTGCAACATCTTCAATAATGAATAAGGAAAGATCAGTACCAAGGTGCTTTAAAGATGAACTTCACTCCATGTCTTCAATGCTGTCACGGAAATTTCATCATTCTGCCATAAAACATCTCACAAGTCCCAGTATACTGATAAATACTGGAACATGCACACCAAAGCCAGTTTGCTGAGCGAGATTCTTCAAAAGCTAAAATGAATAGTTATTCAACCACCAGATAACCAATTAAAGGCACCGTGCACAGCTAATGACAGTGGATGCACTCCTGTCTCTCGCAGAGTTACTTGATCTCTCTTAGGAGTTTGTTCTTTGCCATAATGAAAGAACACATAAAGCACTACTGTTATTTGTATTAGGAAGCAGTAATTTATGTATGCACAACCATTTTTAGTTTAAATTGTAAACAAATAAAAGCTGGAGAACTCTTGTCTTTGCCAAGCAGTAACTCTAAACATCATGTATGAAACTGCATTGTATTACAGAACAGAAATTTGGGGTAATTTTATGTCTTGAGAATGTACTAACCTTGCACTAATGTTTAAGGTATAATTTAGTGCCTACCCTGAACTCTACAAAATAACTGACTGCTTGTGGCAGCACAGTCATCACATGCCTTAATAAGCACAAACACATACATACATAACCCATAAATCGAGTATTACACATGTACTTATCAAGTCACCCCTCTTCACCAAAAGGGCCTGTAGTACAGAAAAACCTAAATATACAACATCATTTCTGATGGGGTGTTGAGAAATCTACTGGCATGCCAAAAGACATCTTTAAACACTGTAAACATGCATTTTGAGGAGTTATTTCCTGCCAGAATGTTGCCAAAAATAAAGCAATTGGCAGTGTTTGAAGGCAAATTGCAGGCATTTCTGATGGATTTAACTTTCTTTAGCAGACCTGTTATCAGTCTCACCAAAAGTAATTAAGACTCAGCAGTAATTGCTGGGAGTCATCCATAGGGCTATAGCTGGCACTGGATCAGAACTAAAGAGAGACTACTCCTCACAAAAGAAATCACAAAAGAAATCTGAAACAGACTTCTAATTCACTGTCTTGAGCATTTTGGTAGGTCTGAATTTAAATGACTGCAAATAAACTGTCTTTTTATCTACAAAGTACATAGGCAAAACCTTTCTAGAATTTGTTAGGAATACTTCATTTCCTATGCATTTCTGCACTTCCTTTAATCATACATAGCAAGCAAAGAGCTCTCAAGTCACAAACCTCTTACATGCTCCTTCAAAACATTTCCTCTCTCCAGAATAACTCACCACAGCAGCACCAGAAGCATGCCAAGCACTTTCCAGAAAAGTAAGCAGCATCCCATCCCTGAAAATACTGTTGGAGTCATACTACATCCACCTGCTCCAAACCACCACCATCCTCATAAGAACCACAGCAGCCGGAGGGGTGGTAAGGGACAAAAAGAGAAATACAGCACCTTGCAGTAGTCAGACACAAGCAAGAGCTATCCAAGCCTGCCAAGGATCATACATGTCATGGACCACATGAAAATGGATTTGTAAGAGTTATCTAGGTTGCACCAACCCAAATACAATGCCAGATTCTGCCCATCACTATAGTTGCAAGATAAGAGAACATGACATTTTCACAGCAGTCATCAATACACTTATCAGTCCAAAGCACTGACACTACCAAAAAGCATTTACAGCTGCAAAATCCAAGCACGTGTGTAATCCTTCTATTGAGCTCTCACAAAGACTCTTCTGGGAACTGTTTAGATTCATCAGATACACCACAGGATATAAAACCAAAGCAAACAGTTCTTTCCATGTGAGAAAGAAGTTCATATATGGACAAAACAATAATACCACTATTATTATGGCCACTCAGGCTTCACAGAGAGCACTCTGTCATCGGAACTTACTGCTTTACAAGACAGAGAAATACTCTAAGAACACAAGAAAAGGAAGATAGCAAAGGAAGCCTTGAACTGAGGGGGTAGGATATTTCAACTCTTTCATAGAACAAACTATTTGGCTGAAAAATTCAAAACTTACCTGCTGTAGCTTTCAAATAAAACCTCTGAAGACATCACTATTGGTAATATTTGAATCCAAAGTAACAGAAAACCAAGAGGAAAACAGGGAGGGAGGAAGCCAAATTTAGCCAAAAGATGGCTAATGTCTAAAGCTGGTTAAACTACTTATCCTTTGGTTTCTGGCACAGCTACATTTCCTAGCCCGCTGTTAAATCATTGAAGCTATGACAAGTGCAAAACACATGTAGTGTTGCTATTCTCCCAAAGCAAAACTATGGGAAGGTGCTTGGCCACATAAATCCATGGTCATTCTTGGCCTCTAATGCCAAAAGTAACTGTTGAATACTTAAGCGAGAAAGAGCAAATAATCATCAAGTTTTAAAGACTAATCTTAAGGTTTTGTTTTGTAAGTCCTGGCACAAAGTATTTGAGGCCAGAGGCTACAAAACCTCTTCAAGCTCATCCCCTCACACACCCTTCTTTTGAGGTAGTTGAATATTTTTATTTATTTAATTTCTTGGCTTATATGAATCTCCTGAGATGCATTCTAAGGTCCTGCAAACCTAGTTTACAAGACAACACATTCTGCCTGAGAGTTTTCTACAACTTCATTATTATTATGACAAGTCAACCTGGAAACTCTTAAAGGGAAGAGGCTGATACAGAGCCCAGTTCCATATTATGCTTCCACAACTCCAAGTACCTTCCTCTTTTACCCACCAGCCATGAGTTCTCACACCCAGTCCAATGTCAGCTTTGGCAGCTGTGAAGCAGGAGAGATGGTTAGCTCAGCTCACTGATCTGGAAGAACAGTTACAAGCCAGACCACAGGCTGCTACTGAAAGGCTAAAGTGAATTAAGTTTAGTGTGAAACTGCACCTTTACATTTTGGGAAAGCTGCAGAAAGGCAGCTGCTTGAGAAATAAGATATGCTGTGTTCTACAAGCAGTGAACCAGACAGAACAGGGCTGCAACGCCTAGTCCCAGCCTTTTAGACACAGCCTTACTCAGCAGAGAATAGAAGGTAAAGCACCCTGCACTCACAATTAGACACATCCTCAAAGGTTTTAGCCTTCTGTATGAAAGGTGATCAGGCTGTTCTAGCCAAGCTTACCATTCTGAAGGTACTGCTCCAGCTGAGACCATCTCTCATCTGCCATTGACTTGGTCATTGCCAGGTAAAACCTTGGAGGAAAAGCAGGCAGAGCACTCCCAAAAAGCTGCCTCAGCTGCAAAACAGCCAAAGGAAAGCTACAGATCAGTGAAGAAACATTCATATTTTCCAAGGAATTTTCAATGCTCTCTTGTTTTGACAGTGAGAAATGATGACCTACAAAGGGCACAGGGTATCCACTCAGCACCTCCCTGGGGGCCATCAGCTTTTGCCTGGACAACCACCAGAAGCCCAACTGAGCAGCGTCTTCTGACAGGTTTCTCATTTTCAGTCTTACCGCTTCTGAGCTCCTGCTCTGAGACAGAAAAGTAGCATTGTATTAACCTTATCAGCTAGGTCTTATACACCTCATGGACAAACAAGGTATGGTTAGAGATGTCTTCTTTTCCCAATATGTCCATACAGGATTTCTTTGATCTATATCCAGAGAACTACATTTAAAGAGCTGGTGACATCTGCCCTTGATTAGTGCTACCTCAGAGGCTTTTATTATTTTGTCTGTGAGAAGTAGTAACTTTTATCAGATAATCTAATATGTCAAAGAAACAAAACAAAACAAAACCAAACCACATATATACATAAGACCCCAAACAAACAAAAAACAAACAGAGTCTCTTTCAGGAACACAAACTATCTGAAAGTTTGATTCTTGCTCCAGCTGTATTAGCTGGCTAACAAGAGCATGATGTCTCTGTATAAACCCTACCACTGCATGTATAACCACACCTGTAAGGACTGGAGAACCACAATTACCTTATGCTAACATAAGAAGTTATAATATAGGTTTGGGCAGTAGTTGGTCACTTGGAAGTGTAAAAATTCTCTGCCATAGCCAAATTATCTCAAGAAAAGGATTAGCTATTCCTTCACCTAAATTAAATCAATATAGCATCAGATCAGGAAAATGAGACTCCTGTAGTATGCTGAAACATTCTTACTAATTAAATTTTAAGTGCCAGTATTCAACTCAGCAATTAGCATCATTAAATCCTGTGAAAAATGATGTTTTCCCTCTGGCCCCAGCTGCCCTTGTCTTTCACATGGCTCCAGCAGCTGAAGCTTGAAGAAAAAACAAAGTTTAGTCCTGCAAGAATTAGCAATACGTTTTTCTGCCCATTGGCTAAAACCAGGAGTAAGGCATATTCCAACAGATCCACTTTTCTTACAGTGGCCACACACTGCCAATTCTGAGTTCTTGTTTATTAGATCTGCATGAATCACTCAAGAGATACAGCAGCAAAAAAGAGTTAGGTAGCACTACATGCTTTGGTTCTATGCAAAGCTAAGAGTAATAGCTAAGTATAGAGGGCTTTTAATCTCCAAAGTCCTTCATATATGTGTTCTTCCCCCAGGGACCAAAAAATACCATCTCTGCTCCACAGGCAAACTGAGGAGATACAGCAAAAATACCTGCCAGAAGTCAGAAAGGCAGAGCCATACTGACAACAAGGAGGTCCTTTCTCTTCCCTCTGTGTTCAGGCCATGCTTCACCTACACAGAGTGGTACCATCTGTTATCTGTTTGCACAAGCTGAGACTCTGGCCTACTTAGAGTAAAATAAATGAAAATGAATTTATCTCAGTGACAGCTGCTTGGTCAGTTTCCTGAACCACAGTTGTGTGTCCCCAGGATTTGGACTAGAGAAAAGAAACTTCTCCCACAAAAGAAAACTACCCATAAACAAAGTGTGTATTTGTGTACAGTGCTGAAAGTCCACCAGACTATCAGCCACCAGCATGGAATTTCATTCTAGCAGAATGCAGCTGAACAGTATTTGTCTTCACAAACTCTATATTATAAATGCAAGTCAGCAACACTGTACCTGGCGGTGCCAGGTGCCTGCTGCCCTGCCATGTGAAAGCCACCACAGAGATGGATCCCCTACCCAAAACCTGCTGCTGATCTTCCCTCTTCTTCCCCCTTCAAGGCTTTGGGTTTCTTTCTGCAACCTAAAGCCACCGGACAGAAAACACATATCTCAGCCCCAAGCCAGGGTACCCTGAGCACTGCCATTTTCTCTTGGCTGGACCTACCTGACCAGGCAGCTATCCAGAGCCATCAGTGTTGCATTTCACTCTTAACCCTACATAGGATACATCCTATTTACTCCCTGCCTTGAAATGCAGCAGTGAATGCTCAAAAAAAATGCAAGAAATAATCTGTCCCTTTCAGTCCTACAACAGAACATAGATTCATTATTATAATATTTGTTTAGAGAGCAGCTGCCAAACTAAAAAGCCACATGCAAATATCACAACATCAAAGGTGGAAACCAGGGTGAGCCTGTCGTCAGCAGCTGCTCAATTTTGAGGGCATCCAGTAACATTTTTAGTTCACAAAGCGCTGTCCAGGTAATCTCCAGCCTCACTCTAGAAGTTTATCACTTGTATATTCTTGCAAGAGCGCCTTACCTCTCCATAAACAGAATAAAGACCCATAGCCTTACTAGGGGTGCTCTGGTTGGTGTGCACTCCCCACAGAACTAAAGCCAGAGAACACAGCTGCAGCACAGCACATCATTTGCCATCTATACTCCTGCTGAAGCTGCTCACAGTCATTTGCAGAGAATGGCTACAAAAGTCTTAGTTCAGCAAGTGCAAACAATAAGGAATGCTGCCCAACATTTATGGTGATCATCCCTAGCAAAGGGAGACTGATCCTTCAGCAATTCTCCCTGTTGCTAATGCTTGATACCTAAATGCTCGAGACAGAAGAGGGAATGAAAACTGGATTTCCCACAATCGAATGCTCTAGGTCCTAAAAGGAGGGACAGGAGGGGAGAAGGTAGAGCCAGCTCTGAACCCTCTTACAGCCAACAGAAAGCCTCAGATCAAGACAGGCACCTTCTGGCATCCACAGTCAAGTGCCTGTCCCCACAGAAGGGCTAAAGCTGCACTGCTCTCCCCAGCATTTCTGCCAGCCCTGTCTAATCAACTCTTCCTAAGCAAGATGTCTTTTAGGATATCATTCTTGATCGTTCACACTTCCCTCTATAATACTTGCTTTAGGTGCTTAGCTTAAGGCTGAGAATTCCATTTGGATATAAGGCACATAGAAGTAAGAAAATGTTGCTCAGAGTTAGTATACCTGCACCTCATTCAACAGTGTATTTGAAACCTCACATGCTCTGTCACACCACACTGCCTCTGAACAGTTGCTCCCTTCAGACAGTCCTTTTGAGACATAAAGGAGCTGAGTTTGGAAGTGTCAAGCAACAGAAGCACTCTCAGAATATAAAGTGACAGCAGCAAGAGGAAAGGGGCAGATAAGGCCCGTCACAACAAAAATGCCATGTCCTGATTTTGTATCACAAGTTAGGAGAGGAGCTCGTAGAGGTGGAATAGCAGTGCTTTGGAAATCACCACCTTGAAGGAGATCAGCACAATTAGTCCAGAGCAGTGTTAAGAAATTATTGTCAAGTACAGTTGTGCAGGAATCCGTCCACAGGGGAAACTTATTCCTAATTCTTATCCATCACAGAACTGCTGCATGTGTGGACACACCGATCAGGAGGGTTAAATTACTGTATCCTGGAGTTTAAGACTCCTTTATGTGTGCATTTCTCTACCTTAACAAAATATTTAAAGCAAAATAAGCAGAACAGGATGTAATGATTATACACAAGCATCTCACATAAGGATAGGGAAGGCAATTAAGGGACAGCACCGTAGCTGTAAGCTTCAAGACCAAGTATGGCAGTTACCAACAGCAGGAATGAAGCAATTAAAAATAAAAATCACCTAACAAGTTGTAAAGCCCAGCAAGGGGCAAACTGTTAGTAACACAGCATGCAGGGAAGGAGGAGATTTTGCTGAGCGTGTTAATGAAGTTAAACTCTTGAGCAAGAAACCATAAGCCTTAAAGAAAAAGCATGCAAATGCATAAGCTGGTTTATTAGCTCAGATATGTTATCCAAAATGCTCCATTAACCAAAGCAAAATATTACAGTAAGAGCTCCCACAGGGAAAAGAATTGCAGAGTTTGGGGCACAAAAGCACAAATCTCAGCAAACACAGCTTCCTGTGGCAGCCCTGCTGCTGACTCAGCTGTTTTCTAGCTGTGCTGCTCCAACTGCTTGTTCAGTCGTACAGACTCGGGAGAGATGGATCCATCTCCATCTGGAATTACCTGGCTGGCTGTAAGAACTGCTCCACAGTGGTTATGTCATTGCAACTGAGAGCACACAGAGGAGGCTGCCAAGAGAAGGAGCACCTACCTAACCCACTACCACGAGAAGTGTCCATCAAACAGGGGCCTAAAATAGGGTTGTCCAGATAAAATAAGGCTGCTCAGCAAGGACGACCCACACTGACAGAAGAGCTGGGAGAGATCTTGTGTGGATCCAAGAACTGGCAAAGGCCAGAGAGATCAGGCTAGCAAAGAGAAGGCTGGCAGCCATTCTGCTTCCATGAAAAAGTTCAAATCACATGCTCCCTTTTATCATCCTGAAAAAAATGAAACAGAGGATAGAGGGGAAAGGGGCAGAGGTAACTCAACAAGAAACAAAGCAAAAGCAGAGATAAACAGGCAGGTTCACCCTGAAATACTCCACATTATTTCCTAACGCCCACTGTTCCTTTGAATACTCCAGGCCTGTGATCCAGCTGTTTTGTAATTGCCTTCGGGGAAAGGGTCACTCCTGAGGTACTCACTTAGGCAATTCAGGCCAAAGGATTCAACACCCAGTTAACCCCTGCCTTGTCCAAACCACCCTGCGTTGACTGTGCAGCTTGCACAGACTGACCTCTACACACTTAGACTTGTTCACAGGGTTAAAGACCTCTTACAGCAGTGCAGTTGCACCTCTCTCCCAGAGCCCAAGGAAAAGAGGCATTTGGAGCCCACAGCTTGGCCAGTGCATCCCACTAAGCCAGCTTACCATACCCTTCTGTCACATCTCTTGGCTTTCTTCGGATTTGCTTCTCATTTGTTGCTGGATTTCACCCTGCAAACACGGGTGCCACACAAGCAGCAGCTCTGCCTTTCTAACAGCCCATCACTGAGATGACCAGGCACATCCTCCCTGCGAGATCAGCATGAAGAAAGACTTTAACACATGCATTTGGGCAGAAACAACTCGCTGTCATCATCCCACGCTGGGTCTGCGAGGGCAAGGAGAGCCCCTCCTGCCCTGCAGCCCTCAGGGGGCCCGGCCTGCTGCAGGGCCCGCCGGTCCCCCTCAGGCTGCCCCGCCGAGGCTTTCCGGGGTGCCCCTCTCCCCGCCATCCCCCGGGCGGCCTCACCTGCGTGTCCCACCGGCGGAGCTGGCTGTACCGCGCCTTGCCGAGCAGGAAGCCCTCCAGACACACCGAGTACGCCTGCAAGCACACCGCCGGCACACCGCGCCCGGCCCGAGCCGCTCCGCCGCCAGCTCCACTCCCCGCGCCTCTCCCGCAGCTCCTCTGCGGCAGTGATGCTGAAGTGCAGCTTCATGGCGGGGCCCAGCCGGGCCATCCCCTCGCGGCAGCGGCGGGGCTGAGGGAGACACCGGGCGGCGCGGGTAGGAGCGGCCGCGGCGCCAGGGGGCGCTGGAACCGCGCGGGCGCTGAGATGGAGCGGTCCGTGAGGCGCTATCTCGGCGGAGACTTTCAATTAACGTCCCTCCGAAAAGGTTAATTAACACCCCCCGAAACAGGGGCCTGTGCTGGGGTGGTTCTGCGGCAGGGCCTTGGTAGGGTGACGGGGAAACGAATGGCCTGCAGGGAAACGGGGCTGGAAGGGCAGCAGCGCTGACGGGCCCTGTTCGGTGCCGAGCAGTGAAGCCGGTGTGAGTAGCGCAGGGAAGTGGGCTACGAAGTGACAATGCACTATGAAATGATGATAATTCGCTGGTTCTCAAGGAACAGGAACTAGGAACCAACTGGTGAGGGCGGTATGCAGCAGGTTTAGAAGAAAATAAGGTATTTTTTTCCCGCAGTGCCTCACTGAAGGTCAAATACAGTTAAAACAGCAGGTCCATCTCTGACATGGGACATTCATACATCGCTAATTGCCAGACAGTAAGGATGAGTTACAATTGCTGTGTTTCATAGCGTATTCCTAGTACCCCTGAGGGAAAGGTGCTGCAGGAACCACTGTGGAAGTTCTCACAGCCTTACCCAAGCGGTGTGAGCTGTTGGAGACATGAAAGGAGTTCATCAGCACGGCAACAATGCAGCTGAAACGGCTCCGCTGCAGACTGGGACCTGGCTTAAGTGCAGTGCTCTGCCCTCACCAAAAGGAAGACAATTACTCCAGGAAGGCTGTGGCTCACAACTGACCTGGGGAAAACCCTTCCCGGTGGAACAAGAAGTGTTTTTCAAGAAACAGGATTAACTGGGGGCATTCTTGAGCAAACGGAGAAGACTTGGTAAAATAACATTGTGCAACATGTTTGATAACTTGACTTGTTTCTCTTCTTCATCTGTGCAGCCAAATAGAACCAGTCTGACGACTTGTGGAGCACCCATTGTAACTTCCCTCTTACAGAGCAAATGCTGTAGCTCCTGATGCCACAGCTGCCCTGTTGCACTTGGGAGATGAGGCACCCATGCTCTGGGAAGCTTTGGAAGAACTTTCCTTCCCCTCCTAAGCAAGGCTGTGTGCATCCTTGTTTGCATCCCAGTCTACTCTCGTGGGTGGGATGTGGCAAACATGGCAATTCCCCATCATTACTTGTAATCTGGGAGACAAACTGGCTGCAGAATGAGTTTGATGGAAAAAACGGGGGTATAGGCAGACAGAGGAAAGCTCTTTGCCCTGGCACATGGGCAGGAATTTTCCACTTCTGCTGCCATTCTACGTTGGTGGTCTCTTCTCATCTGCCTGAATCTGGTTCCCCTCTGGAAAACTATGGGAGGGGAAATGAGCACCCTTTTGTGGCAAATCTCTCTAACAGTGGCAAGGGACAGGATTAAGCAACCTTCCACCTACAGATGTGGCAATGCGGTATGTTTGGGGGGCACTTTTGAACTGTAATCCCTGTTTTATGTCATCTGCTGACTTCAGGTTTAACCTAGAACATGTGTAACCCAAGGTCCCAGTTACCGCAATGTGACACAACCAGTTAGCATGCCCTGGGCATCATTTTTGTTTTCTGGATGCTCAGATGTCACATGGAACATTTTAAAGCTTCCTCAGAGCTATAAAAAAGTACATACCTCTGGACAGCTATAGCCAGCTGGAACATGACTTGATTAGGGATGTTTCTTCAACAGATTATGTGGGAAGCAGGAGACTGCTTGGCGCAGATATACTGCTCTTAGTACTTACTATGCAACAGGCCAGTTACGTTGGCCCAGCTTGTCATTTCCTTCTTTCTTAATGATTACATTCAACCCCAATACAAGTGACAAATCTAACTGTCAGATTATTTTGTTGAATACATTTTTCCCTTGTTCTTGTTGCCCAAGTCCAGCTACCTGCGCTCCTTGTGGCCTTACTGCAGCTGAAAATGTGTGTTTCAAATTTGTATTCACTTCAAAGGCCATGCCCTAAGGATCTGCAGCCCTGCCAGCTGTGTTTTCCTGTGGGTACAGCTGCTATCTGTCATTACTGACCGCATTCTACAGAAGCTAAATGGGACTAAAAGTTTTCCTTCGCAGAGGTGGTTGTACCACAAGGACTTGCAGTTGCCTAAGGAACAACATTTAGTTTGCTGGTGTCTGCCTGGCCTGTGGAGGAATCGTATCTTGGTGGGGTTTTAGTGTACGCTGTAGCCTTCCTACGGCTTTCACTGCAAAGGTGCTGTGAGGCTCTTAGTATTGCTTGCCCTAACATTGATGAGACAGCTAATTGATGTAGCAGGATGTAGTGTTTCTCTGTGTAAAGGACTAGTTGAAGAGGCAAGAGGAACAGGGTGGTTTAATTCAAAGTGCATACTCACACCAAAAAGTAACCTGAGAGAAGAACTGAGACTTTTTCAAGAGTAGCTGCTGGTTCCAGTAAATCCAAGACTGCTGGGTTTGCTCAGAAGACATTTCTAACCTCAGATCACCTCTCAGGGCAACTCATGTATGTGGTAAGCTATGAAATGTTCAGCAGTAGTTTAAACTACTTCTGCAGGGAGTGAAAATGGAATGCTAAGTCACAGAAATGGAGTTTCTTAATGAATCCCAAGTGAGATGGGCCAGGAACACATAACTGTGAAAGCCTAGAGCATTGTGGTCCCAAGGACAAGAGTGTGACTTGCTCTCAGTTTGCACCACAACTCCTGGGCCTACTGAGAATAAATACAAATCCTCATTGGGTTTGGGAAGTTTGGTGGAGTTTTCTCGGTTTGTGTGTCTCGTTATACCTAGAATCCTAGAATGCTTTGGGCTGGAAGCGACCTTAAAGATCATTCAGGCATCCCTGCCATGGGCAGGGACACCTCACACTAGGCTAGGTTGCCCAAAGCTCCATCCAACCTGGCCTTAATTTCCTTAAAGACACAAGCAAAATCCCCTTTATCTGGAATCAGAGCACATACCAGTTATGCAAACAGGTATGCTAGTGTACACTACCCAAGGTGAAATCTGTCTATTAGATATGGAATTCATAGAATCATAGAACAGTTAGGGTTGGAAAGGACCTTAAGATCATCCCAGGTTCCAACCCCCCTGCCATGGGCAGGACACCTCACACTAAACCATCTCACCCAAGGCTTGGTCTAACCTGGCCTTGAACACCACCAGGGATGGAGCATTCACAACCTCCCTGGGCAAACTATTCCAGTGCCTCACCACCCTAACAGGAAAGAATTTCCTCCTTATATCCAATCTAAACTTCTCCTGTTTTAAGTTTTAACCCGTTACCCCTTGTCCTATCACTACAGTCCCTAATGAAGTCCCTCCCCAGCATTCCTATAGGCCCCCTTCAGATACTGGAAGCCTTTTTGCAAAGAATCCTAATCCAAATCAGTGTCTGTTTTTCGGCATCCAGTTATCCATAACAATCATGAACAGTGCTCCTGAGAAGGAAATGCTTTTAGGTGCAAGGACTGAAGACATTCTGTATTCAAGGATGTAAACCGTTAGTGTAAACCAGCACCTGTACTGACTTCACTCAACTCAAGAACATCTTGATTTCTATGACCTTGCCACTCCTGCCTCAGGACCTAGTGAAATCCAGGTTTCCTAACCTTCTGCAGAGCAGCAAAGAGAACACATTGCAGTCCCAATTACCTGTGCACACAACCTTTGATTTGGTTGCCTGTAAAGCCATTCTGCTTGGGAAAGCAGATGGTGAGTTCCAATTGCCATTAATTTCTGGAGCAGGCTTTTCAGTGCTGCTAAACTCTGAAGTGTTTGCTGTGGTTAGAGTGGAAAGCAGGGAAGGACTGAAGGAATGAAATACCAGAGGAGCCAGCAAAATCAGCTTAGTGCTGGGTGGCTGCAGGGCAGTAGAGGATCAGTGTAAGCCTCTGACACACGTGGCAGAAGGAAGTGACTGCCAGTGAGTCGCCCTTTAACACAAGGGAACAGGGCTTTACTGCTACCGAAGAAATGGATTTGTCTCTGTGGTACATTATTTACAGTAGTACTCTAAAGACACATCGATAAGGTGCTAACATACACATTCATTATCTCTTAAGATTAAAAAAATCCCCAAACAAGCAAACCGCCTTTAAGACATTGGTTAGACAGGTGCCTGTGGTATAGAGTGGGAAGAAATAAACCCAACCAACCCTGGGTTTTGTTTTGTTAAACTGTCATGACCGCCTCAGCAGAATTGCCTCACTGTGCTGTTGCATCACAAATGTTTCCAAGTACTTCAGGCTGGTACAGATGCTGGTGCTTGACACACCCACCAAAGCCCAGTACAGAGCTGGAAGAGCCTTTCTTTTCCTCCTTTCTCAGTTTCCACATATGCAAGAGGTTAAAGAACTTCATTCTTACAAAACACAAATATTAGTTTGGTGAACACCAGCACACTCACCAACGACATTACCTCTTATCTGGGGAAGCAAGCAGAACTGAGGTGGGCTCTTACTTTCCCCGGTAGGGCCCTGAAACTCCTGCAAATTGGTCTTTACATCATCCTTTAGACCTTCTGTTAAACTTTTAATGTCATCTGACTCTTCAGCATTTCTATTGCTAAATACTTTTAGCAATAAAAGTATTCTAGTGCTTAAAGATATCTCCAAAACTTCAATGTTTTTGCAGTTGAAATTACATGAAATTACAGTTGTACATTCAATCTCTTATCCTGTATGGATCTGTCTGAACCATCTCGTCGGTAAATTTACCATTCGATTAAAAACATTCTTAATTATAGTCATACACTTCAGGACTGCAAATTCAAGGCTAACCCAGCCTACCTACATCAGGACAGGACTGAACATAAAGACTTGTACAAGCTTAACCTAATGCTTTTGTAGTGGAGAGATTTTAAATAGGAT